TCTCACTCTCCAGGTCCCCGACGAGTACGGGTACGTATCGCAAGCTCTCTCTACGGTTCTCTTTCTTTGTGTTCCCTCTCCACAGACAGACACAGATATCTTTGAAGCTCAGCATAGCTAACCAAATCCCTCCCCAACAGCTACGTCCTCCTCGTCGCCGCCTCAACCTTCTTCATCAACACCACCCACGTCCTCCTGACAAGCAAGTACCGCAAGGCCAGCGGTCTCGTCTACCCGGCCCCCTACGCCTCCAACGAGCAGGCCGATAAGGACCCCAAGGCATACCAGTTCAACTGCGGTACGGTTTTCCTCCCGCCCTTTCCGCCCCTCTGTTCCCTTCCCATTGAAGCAGACAGGGAAGGAATAGAGAAGCCGGAATCACTAACGGCAACGCTTGATCACAGCACAACGCGCCCACGCAAACTTCACCGAGAACCAGCCCTCTTTCCTCGGCGCCCTTCTCATCTCCGGCCTCCGCTTCCCCGTCGCCAGCGCCGTCCTCGGCGCCGGCTGGACCCTGTCCCGTATCCTTTACGCCTTTGGCTACACAAGCGGCGCTGGCCCCAAGGGCCGGACTCGGTACGTTTTCGCCCCCAAGACCTCTCCTCTCTCCACCTTCTTGAAATTTGTCTCCCCAGCTCTGATACTCCTTGCTGACTCCCATATGAATTCGCAGTGGCTCCATTGGTTCTTTCCTCTTCGACACCGCACTCAAGTTCACGTCCACCTACACCGCTCTCGCCATGATAATGAATTGGTAAAGGAGTTTTCGCACCTTGGTACGCTGTTTATGGAAAACGATCCAATCTCTTGCTTTACTAGCCGCTGTAAAATCATACAAAAAATGTTGGGAATAGACGACCATGGTGTCCCACAGTAATGTCCCGGTGAACCGACCCATTGCTTTAATAACCGCTGCGTACAACCGTGACTATTATACCTGAACAAATTCCTACCATCGCCATAACTCCATGTCGTACACCCTGGTTGCTGTGCCCCGCTACTGATTTCTTTCGCTCTCCTGCTGCTCTTTGGCTTGTTTTTCCCAGAAAGAGCCATGGAATAGATGAAGCTGAAAAACGAACATTCAAAGCCTCTGCCTAACTATTTGCGCTTTCTGAGTCGGCGAAGCTCCAGACTGCGATCCGGTTCGTCGGATGTTGGCGTCAAGGCTCCAACGGACTTCTCGATTCCGTTGTTGCCCAGGAGATAGTCTCCAAAGTACTTCATCGCGCTGAATATTTCTTCGCCGACGGGAATAATGTTTTCCCTGGGAAGAAGGAAGCCGTAGCTGCCGGTATCCCTCAGCTTGATCTGGTAACTATAATGCGCATGCAGTTCATGGTAGAACCAGTCAATGGCCGATCCACCGCCTGTCTCAAGACGCTTAGCGCCTGGTGCAGAGCCCCGTCCCGCGACAGCTCCTTCGCACGCTGATGTGACCGAGTACAGCTCTCCGTTGGACAGACGGATGGCCTTGGCAAGCCCAGCGGCGAGCTCTTCGAGATTCTCGACATTGGGCGGATCGACGTCGCAGGAGTATGCGAAGGGAAATAGCACCTGTTGAGAATAGGAGTGCAGGTCAATGAGACCAATAAACTCGGTATCCTCCAATGACGCATTCCTCGCCCAGAGTGCTATAGCTCTGGCTTCGGCAGCCTGCCATGGCTGTTTACCGCCATAGCTTTCAGAGCAAGGGTCGTTTTCGGAGTAGTCGCCCCATTCATAGCCAAAGGCGTGGTCGAGGTCGAAACCGTGGCACCAAGACATACCCGTCTCTTGCCGGGACTTGCGCCACAGTCGGTCTGTAGTCCAGGTGTACTCGATACCGTCGGGGTTGACTGCCGGGATGAAGATGAAATCGAAGTGCTCTAGCAGCTTGGTGATCATGGGCTCCCTGCCGAAGGCCGTAATGAATGACCAAGCGACATAGTTGGTAGTTGTCGTGGAAATCCACTCTCTTGCATGCATCCCTCCCGCAACAACGACCGTCTTCCGCTTTTCGCTGCCTGGCGCCCGGGTCTTCATGCCAACCTTGAGACCGAGAATATCTCGTTGTTCAGAGGATTGCCCAATGGTTATAACTTCGGTGATGGCTGGGAACATAGCTTCGGTTAAGCGCATCCATTGGACAATTGTCTAGAACATATTAGCTCGAACTCCGCAGTGCTTGCACGGGCGTGAGGTCACATACATCAAGCCTCTGGTAATCCTGGAAAAAATAGTTCTCGTTCCCACTTTGCGCGCTCTTGAGGTTTGCGCGACCATCGGGGATGCGGTAAGTCTGGGCCGGGACATCGACGGCCGGATATGTGTCGTACACAGCGGCTGCCACATCCGATATCAACGTCGAGTAGGCTGATTTCAGAGAGTCGGGCAGAAGCCCAAGCAGCGATCGAACATTATCTTGACGAATTCGAACATCGACGAATTCGTGATTGAAGGCCCAAATGTCTAGAAAGGTGCGGGCGGCGGCGGCGGCAAAGGCAGACTCTTCCTCCGCGGTGGTGAGATTGAAGCGCAAGACGACTTCATTGATGTGATCGTCTCGCAGGCTTGTTCGAACGTGGGATGTCAGGTGGCTAGCTTTGGCAGGATGGGGTCCGAAGACGAATTCAACGACGCCATTCCGAAGTCTTTTCAGGAAAGGAAAGAGGTCAGACTTGGCTCGCACGGCAGTAGTGGAGGCGTCGTGGCGGTATTCGGGGTATGCGTCGAAACGTGCAGCGGAGGCGGCGGGGACCAGAACGGCGACGCTGGCCAGCGAAGACAAGACGACGTGAGGCCGCATAGCGACGAGCAAAGCTTATTGTGGTGGTCGGGTGTGGAAGATTACTGACGTCAATTCAGCCCGACGTCAGGGAGTGATGGATGTGGGCGATGCGACCGAGGGTCAATTGCGATGATGGGGGTTGTTGTAGCGATAGAATCGCGACACTCTCAGGGACCTGGAGGATGTAGGCTTGGAGCGAAGTTCAGGAAAATGCAGGTGAGCGAGCGATAAGGAATGCAACAGCACGGCTGACCTTGCCTCACCTTGGAGTTGGCAGGGAACAGGCTCAGGCAGCCGCTTACTTGTAGGTTGGGTAACTGGGTTTGGCCGTCGCAACACGATCCTTGTCGGTGACGGGATCACTGCACATGTCATTGACTCCAAGGGACGAGGAAGCAATGCTGGGTATTTGTTAGCCAACATATGATGTCTCTTGGCATTGCAGATGCGACTATCGCAGCGAATTCGCAGAGATGTCATCGCGACCCCATGTCTTCCATTACTTGAGGGATGCGAGGAACGCTAGAAAGCGGGAGGCCACAATCGAGGTACCAGAACAGCGCAATTGGTGCTTGTACATCCATGGATATTTGGAGACATTGGATGCTTAGCTAAGGCACCTCATAGGTATGGGTAAAGGTACGCATGAGGCATGGTGTCTTGAGTACCTACCTAATGGGAGGTGTCTCTTGGCTGGACCGGCACTCCCGTCGGGTCAGTGAATTTGTGCCAAAGTTCAGAGGTTGGACTAGGTACTACGTATCCCTGATCCTCTTCACCTGGCTTACCTAACGAGGTCAATCTTTGAACCCCTTGCAAGTTGCACCTGGAGTCCTGACGAGAGTCCTCCACTGAGCACTGAGTAGCAAGGTGGGCTTCATATAGTGCCCGGACCGCAGCCCGGCCAGCGTATTCTTCATTTCAGACTGGTGGTGTCTGCACTGGTGCTTCATCTCAACATTGCCCTTTGCTCACCAAATTGGCAGTCTGAGGATCGCCAGGCCTGACCCTGCTTGTCCTCCTTTGTCTACCTTAGTTCTTCGTCAGTTTCTCATTCCCCCATGGCTGTCTACAGACTCGTCACTCGTCGTCCAATATGCAGTGCGTGTATTCCTGCCCATGGTAACCTCAGTTTGGTGTAAGACACTCAAGCCAACGTACCTATATGCCGAACTACCTTAGAAAATTACCTGAGGTGTTAGTAGATGGGAAGAGATACACAAGACTACCTACTACCAACATCTTGCCCAAGTTACCTAAGCCCCGTGCTAGGTTCTCTACCACGTTATTACTGACCTGGAGGCTAGGAACCTCAGCCCAGCCCCCCAGCTGCTGGGTACGTGTGCAAAAATGCGTGGCACCTCAGCCTGGAACCGGCCCACTCCAGTTTACTGCGGCTCGACTGCATCAGTCCAAGGATGTTATTAGTCGTAAATTCGCAGCGAAGGTAAGGTCGTCCGTAGCGTATTCTGAATAGTCTAGCCCAGCGATTCTCCCTCCCTATCCGTAGCTTCCTGACTCTCGCCGCTGTCCGTCGAGTGCCCGTGATGTGGCATAACCTTGTATCAAAGTCGTGTCCTGTTCCGTACGGGATACTGAAGTGATGAGTACTACCAATGTGCCATGTTTTATTATTCAATGTATCTGCCGTTTGTGGTCTGTCGCCTTATGGCTTCTAAAACTCTTCTTTCCTTCCAGCCCCCCCCCCCCCCCTTTTCCCCCGGTACCTACTTCGTACCTTACCTTACCTATGAGACTGGGACGACGACAGCGCACGCAAACGCCAACCTGATGCCAATTGGGTCGTATGTGTACTTTTTTCCCTGTTGATCTTTTTCCTCACATCAAACGTCCTTCTCTACGCATCCAGCCTCAACTGTACCTACAGGACGTTTCTTTCTTCGCCTTACTTTCGACTTCTGGTGCTTCACTTAGATTCCCTCGCCTCGGGCTCACGTCTCGAAAATACTTCCCTACGCCTTTTCTCGCTCTCCTCCCCCCACATTCAGCTGTCCACAGTATTACTCGGTCTCCCTCCCTTCGTCCTCCTTCCCCTAAAGGTACGAAGAGGTACCTTGCCTCACCTTGCGCGGCCAGGTACGCCAACGCCAGCAGAGGACCAGCCTACGGATAATTACCTACACCTACCGTATCCAGCAACCAACCTAAGGACCCCTACCCCCAAACCCGGTCGTCCTGTCTCTTGCGTTGCAATGCGCTTAGCCTAACATAAACAACACCCTTGCCTCACTTCACCTTAACTCACCTCGCCCCGTCTCGCCTGGCCTTACCAAACCTGACCTCACCTTGACACTGCTTACTCGGTCTCCCTACCGTCCAATTCTCCTCCTTTGTGTTCAACTTCCACCGCGCATCCCTCATCTGATAGACTCGCCAATGTCTCCCGCCTCCGTACTCAACAATTCCACCTCGTGCTGATGGCTTAACGTCCGGATCATACGGCATCCCACCGCACCACCCAGACGTGACCGCGGTCGTCATCCTCCCACTTCTGACGATATATCCCTGGCAAACCATGACCCATCGCCGTCATGCCTTTCCTACGCCGTCGCGGCAACATGGTCAGCGAGACCGATATGAGGCGCCATACCATTCTTGAGTCCGAAACTGCGCCTCAGCTACCGCCGCTCCCTCAACACTTCCCTCCCCAGCGACCTCAATCCCACCACCAACAGCCCGACCAGCTGGCGCCCCCGCCACCGCTGCAGTCTCTCTCTCGACCCCAATCACAACAGCACAAGAAGCAACAACTCGGCGACCACTCGAACCCGATACCCGAGCTCAAACTGCCATCATCGCCCCCGCCGCCGCCGCCCACCTCGCAGCCGGAACAGGAACAGAAGCAGAAACAGGACCAGGAAACTCAAGGGGATCAACCGCGACCCTCTGTGTCCATTTCGGTACAAGAACCTCCGTCTACGTCTCTGGCCTTGCCTAGGCCATCCGACGACGATGATGGCGCTCTCAATCCACCGAATCCCAATGACCCTGATGCGCGACCGGATACCCCTCCTATCCAGGAAGAGACACCAAAGCACCGTCGTTTCTCCATATTGAGGTTCCGCAACGCATCCGACTCGCAATTATCGGTTAGGGCTAAACAACAGGCTGAAAAGCCCCCTCCTGTACCTCGCCGTATGTTTCTACTAACCACTCCCCCCAAACGGCTCTCGCCAAGGCAAGAGCCGGGTCTTCTTAAGACCACTTTGCTGACCAGCTACACTAGCCCCTGAGATTATCACGACAGCTCCCACCGCCGACCTCCAGGTTCCCCAGAAGAAGCAGTCGCGCATGCGACTCGCGGATCGCTTCCGACGCTCAGGCGAATTGCCAAGACACAGCGAGGATGGAGGCGGAAGGGCCATGACGTGGAAGTCAACGAGAAGAAAGACGGGGTTGGAAGACATGGTATCGAGAAACCGGCCAACCCTCGTGACTTTTGAGGAGCCTGGCCGCCCAGCATCTTCGAGATCGCCGACGAATGGAGAGCATCATGACGTGCCCAACCTATCTCTTCCCAATAATCGAGCCTCAGAATCGTCGCGCTCCGACGCTAGCTCAGGAGAACACTTATATGCTACAAACACCCTAGGCAACTCGCCTCCGGCACCCTCAAGCTCCAGCTTTTTCCGCCTACCCCGAAGGAAACCCAAGGCTGCAGCGCCAATGTTTGACTTGTCTCATTTACCACAGAAGGGCAAGCCTTCGACTGACAACCCCGCCACGTCATCTTCGTCTCTCGGCGGTCCCCAATCGGCCGCTGCTTCTACTTCTAGAGAGGGAACCCCTCGTCCTCAGCAAGGCTCGCGGCCTCATTCGAGTCACAGCACAAGGGCCAACTCCGTGGCGTCCTCTGCGCATGAGCAGTCTGCGAAGCCCAATGCTTCACCCGCTACTGCTCTGTTCAGACCAGGATCGACAAACTCGGGACAGTCCTCCCCTACGCGTGCCCGCTTACAGCGCCGTGGCAGATCGTCAACGATGAGTTCTCTAGGAAGGGATTCCACGGATGGTCATCTTGACCCTGGAACTGGTCGAGCATCGACGTCAGTTGGGCGCAAAAGCTTCGGTGACCTACTTGGGCTGAACCGACTACGCCAAAACTCCGATCTTGGTCAGGGTCGACAAGGCAGCCTGACACCAGCAACGCCTGGATCCAACACTTCAAAGAACAACTCGTTGCAGATTGCCCGCGAAGCCATTCCTCTACCCGAGAGGCTTGAGGATGAGACGCCCGTCAAGTACCTTGCTCGAATAGAGGAAATATTGAGTCGCGGAGTAATTGCCAGTGCGTTGTCCAAGGGGAGTGATCCGTTCTCAATAGCAGTCTTACGGAGCTATATGCGCCGCTTCAGCTTCTTTGAGTACCCAATGGATATGGCTATCCGAAAGCTGCTCATGGAGGCCGAACTACCGAAGGAGACGCAGCAGATAGACAGGTGTCTACAGGCTTTTGCGAACCGTTACCACGAATGCAACCCTGGAATCTATGCCTCTCCAGATCAGGCGTACTTCGTCGCATTCTCACTACTTATTTTACACACTGATGTCTTCAATAAGAACAACAAGCACAAGATGCAGCAACCCGATTACTTGAAGAACACCAAAGGGGAGGGTGTTTCGGACTCGGTCTTGAGCTGTTTTTACGACAACATTACGTATACCCCTTTCATTCATGTCGAGGATGACCTAGACCTCAACAGCGATCGGCTTTTGGCAAACAGGGCCAAGCGGAAGACGATTTTCCCAGGAGGCACACCGGAAACTACGACCAAGCGGTCAAGCCGGGAGCCTCTTGATCCTTACACACTTATAATAGACGGCAAGCTGGATATCTTGCGACCGAGTCTCAAAGACGTAATGGAACTCGAAGACCATTACAATTACTTAGGGACGGCAAAAGATCTCAACGTAAAGGAGCTTCAAAGAACTTTCTTCAGAACCGGAGTGTTGCAGATTGTGTCAGCCAGATCCCGGCCTGATGCGTTCCGCGATGACAAAGGCTCCAGCAACCCGGCCGAGGCGGCACAGGGCGTTGTTGACATCAAGATCACCAAGGTCGGGCTTCTGTGGCGCAAAGATGTCAAGAAGAAGAAGACGAGGTCACCGTGGCAGGAATGGGGAGCCATTCTCACAGGCGCTCAACTCTACTTTTTCCGCAACACCACTTGGATAAAAAACCTAATGCACCAGTACGAGTCTCATGTCAAGCAGGGTTTCGATGGCGAGCCAATTACCTTCAAGCCGCCTCTTCCGGAATTCAAACCAGACGGGTATCTGCCAACTAAGGAAGCTGTTGCGCTCGTCGATTCCACCTATAAGAAGCACAAGAACGCCTTCAAATATTCTCAGCCCAGCGGTTATGTGGAGGAAGTTCTCCTAGCCGATAATGAGGAAGAGATGAATGATTGGCTAGCCAAGCTGAACTATGCAGCGGCTTTTACGACGTCAGGCGTTCGCATGAGAGGCGTCGTGGGAGGCAATTACGAGGGCCAAAGCCGGCGTGGTATTAGGAGACTCGGCAGTTCGGCGTCTGCTCAAGTCATCCAGACTCCAACAGGCGATGTTAGCATTGTTAGAGGCAAGATTGACCACAAAGAGGCCGAGTCCATCCAGGCGCAACGACGGCAGACTATGATGGATGCAGTCGCCAAAGCTGATGAAGAAATTGCTCTGAAGGAGCAAGAATTAGAAGGACACTTGAGGAACGCCCGGCACCTTCAGATCCTATCGCCTATTCAAGGCAAAACCAGAGACCAGATCTTGTCAGCTGCAGCTCACATGGATGTCAAGATCAAGTGGACCCGCATGGACATGTGGAAATCAATGTGTCATCGGGATGTTCTCCTGAAGGATCTAGCTGAGGAGCAGAGTCTTCGGGGTCTCACTCCTACTACAACTCAAAACGGCCGAGAGCCTCGTGAGACATCACCCTCTGCCAAAGAAAGGCCTCCTATTCTCGACGCCGTGTCGGCAAATAGCGTGGCACGCAGGCGCAGGCGATCATCCGCCGCTGTCTCAACAATTCAGCCTTCGAAAACTCCGCAAGCAGAGCCCGACTCTCCCGTCACTGAAGCTTATCAAACCCCGCCTACCAGTGCTACTTTCAGCCCACACAAGCATCAAAACTCATGGGACTCGAAGGTTTCCAAGTCGACAGAGCGTGTTCAGCCTCAGAGACCTGGTTCCAGCTCCAGCCAGTCATCTGGCGAGCCGACTTTCTACAGCCCGCAACAGCATTCAACGCAGAAGAGAGGCAATGCCACCGAACAGTCTGCAGACAATGACCGACATGAAGACGTTGATGCAAACGAACGGGCGCTACTACAGCAAGCCGGTCTACTAGAGTCGGGCTCTCGCGGGCGAATTCCCCCGGAACGGAAGCGAACGGGGTCTTTCTCTGAACCAGGAGATGCCTCGGAGTCGCGAGATACGCCTGGCTCAATCGATAAACAAGACAAGACCAAGATCCGGCGAAGTCTCCAACGCACACTCAGAGAAAGTGCTGGCCACCTTTCACACCACCGCAGCAGAAAGGGCAAGGAAATCATCTCCGGCAGCGGCGCAGATGACACTGGCCGTGAGGACGTGCTCACCAGGGGTTCCGGCAGTTTTGTGGTACATGGAAAGAAGGCGTCCGTTATCAACTTCGGCTCCGAGCTACAGCAACTTACTCCGGAGGAGCGCATGAAGCAGCGTAAGCAAGACGAGCCTGCGTCCCCAGTCAGTGTCGCAGAAGACTACCACGACGCTTTGAATGATTCGCTGGAACCCACAGAAAGAAGAGAATCAGCTGCCAGCGCCAGCACTGCCACAGCCAGGAGCTTTCGTGAACTTCATCGCAAGTATTCTTCAGCACACGCATCCAAAGCACCCGCCTTTGGCGGGCACCTCTTGGTGCCATCCGATGGCGAGAGCGAGGCAGCAGTCAGTTTCTCTGAGGGAAGAAGGACACCGCTTCCTCCAATCGAGAACGAGTCTGGAGATGAAGAAGAGAGCGAGGCAGCTGTGAGCAGTCCGCAAATCGTTAGCCCACGGCCTATACCCAGCCCTCAGCTGATCATAAGTCCACAACCCATCTCTGCTGCTCTGGCAACTCCACTGGCAACCGCGTCCGAGCCTTCGACGCCCTTAGAACCCCAGATGGAGGAGAAGGAGGAGGAAGACGAGAGGGGTGCTGAGATGCAACGGCTGCCTAGCCCCCCTGTGCAAGCAGTCAAGGCCTAGCTAGGTCTCATAATTTAAAGGGAGAGGCAAAACTTTCCGAGGCGATTTTTCATGTTGAAAAAAAAAAACCATGCCGACATTGTAGAACTAGTTGATATCGGATGATGCGGATCTGGGGATGAGTCAGGAGAAAACGGAAGATACCAGCGAGCGAGAAAAAGAGTAGCTAGTGATTTGATAGAGAGGGATGAACGGGAAGGGGCCGTATGACAGACAGCATCATCATTAAAGGATGCGCAGGTAGGGGCCGGCAGCGCTCCTTGGCTGTCATTCAAAATTACTTATTTCTACTGTCAACAACCATGATCCGATGAACTGGCAAAGTGTAACCGATCTAGAGCCATAGGTGTGTACTGTGGGTTCATGGCTGATGGGTGAAAGGAGTCTGGACTTTGAGGCCAATGTTGTGACTGGCGATTAGGGGGCCAGACTTGGAAAGAGGTACATGGTAAGAGTAGATAGCGCGCGTACTCAATCATACAATATCTCTTCCCCGACATCTTGGTACCAGTCTCTCAAACTCAGGTCATATTCATGGATTCGTGATCATGGGAGGAACAGTAATGAACTTTTTGATTTTGGTAATGCAGCCGTGGTGGCAGGACAAGCATGGCCTTCAGCATGTTCTTGACAGAGGGGCTAGTAAGTCCTACAGCACATTTCCTCATTTCTTGCCCTTCTTCTTCTTCTTGTTCGACGATGTCGTCGGCGCCTTCTCGACTTTGACAGATCCTGCGCCACCGGCCAACTCCAATGTCTCCTCCTCCTTGACGAAGCCACCTTGCGTCGCTTCCTGGGCCTTCTTCTTGCCCTTCTTACCCTTGGGGCGGTACGAGGATCGGTCGCGGAGGGGCAACCAGCGCTCAGGATCCATCTTCTTGCCCTCGACATAGTCCTTGGGCAGCTTTCTTCTTCTCTTCTTCTTGTTGCCTGCGTCGGTGGGCTGATCGAGGCGGCGTTTCTTGGCCTGGCTGGCTGCCGGCGCAGTGGTGGCGACGCCATTGCTGACGAGCTCGTCGACGTTGACCCCCCGTAGGAGGTCGTCAATGGGAGCCAGACCAGCGAGGTGAGGCGTCACCTTTGCTCTGTCTGATGTGGCGAAGGATGCCACGAGGCCAGCGGCGGCGATAGGGTCCGCAACGGGCTTCTGGCAAAGCTTCTCAAACGCAGCGCCAGCAGCTGCAAGATCCGTGGGCTCAGATGACTTGAGGAGCTCCGAACCGGCGCCACGGAGGAGAGAGTCGACGTGGCGCCCATCGTGCTTCTCCCAGAAGGACGATGCCTTTGTTAGCTCTGATCGTATGTTGCTATGGCGGCCCTGCTGGCTATAAAGAGAGACAGTCAAGGCAACCAAACCGGGAGAGAAGCGCACTTCTGAAGGACCTTGCTTCTCCAGGTTCTGCAAGAAGCGCTCAAGGACGGACAACGCAGCACCAGGGTTGTTCGCTGTGAGGTAGAGCTGTATTATGGTGAGGAGCAGGCCGACATCTGTAGGGCGCTTCTCAATCAAAGGGAGAACCTCTTTCACTTCAACCACCTTGGAGCGACGCAAAGCAAAGGCTGTGGCATTGATGGCCGAAAGACCGTTTGTGTCGACGGACACTGTTGGCGAAGCCTTGGCAAGTACCTTTGACGACTTTTCATACACGCCATCAAACTTTTGAGCTTGCAGACCAAGAATGTACTTATTCTGCTCCAGCTGGCTTTCTTGATAGTTGAAAAGCTTCGCCTGTTTTCTGAGGGCTGCTGCGGTGTCGAACTTGCGCTGGGCCAAATATGGGTTATCTACCTCGGTCGCAAGAGCGGAGGTGTTGTTCAACGCAATCAGTCGAGACTCGGCGTCAGAGTCCCTGAGTAATAGAGGTAAGCGAAAACCTCCTTTAGAAAGAATTTTGGGCCAACCTACTCTGAAATGGATAGTCGCTTCTGGATCGCAAGAGCTTCCTCGGTCTTGCCTAACCTAGTGTAGACATACACCTGCTGAACCATGATGGGGGTCATCTCGGCCTTCTTGTCGTCTTCGGAGAGCTCTTCGGAGTCGTCACAGAGGCGCAGTGCTTTCTGGAGCAGCTTCGTAGCTTCGGAGAGCTCGCCGCGGGCAATCATACCACAGGCAATGTTGTAGGCAAGCTCGAAGGTGTCGGCATCTTCGGCGGCGGGAATCGGCGTGTCTTCTCCGTCAAGGCTGTTGGAAACCTTCCATTCCAGCTGGGCGGCGGACGCCAGCTGGTTGATCTTTAGATCGCTCTCCTCTCCTTGCTCATCCTCCAACAGGCTGCTGTAGACGTCGAGCGCGTCCTTGAAGTCTTCGGCTCGATAGGCCACCTGAGCAACCAGGTGGCGGAAGCTTCGCTGGGGCTTGGAATTGGCAACCTCGCGAGCCTCTTGTAGCTTTCCCGTCTTGTAAAGCGCATAGGCCTTTTCCAAAAGGCTAGCGACCTCGAGTTTGTCGCCGCCGTCGGCAATCGCACGGAGGGCGTCGTCGAAGCGGTCGAGCTTGAGAAGCGCAACAACGCGGGTGCGTTGGGCAACGATGTCAGTCTTGGAGGCTTTAAGAGAAGCATTGGCAGCCTTTAGGACCTCTTCATGGTCTTCGATGGAAGCTGCGCGCAGCAGAGCGCTAAGGTTTGCGGCGGGGTCTGAAGGCATCGTGAGGTGAGGGGCGGCGTCGGCAGCGAAGAATGAGTGGTGGTGATTCAGTAGGGGCGGTGCTGCATGTTCTGCCGCTCCTCTATAGCTTTTATCGACAGCCCGATGGTAGTCGACTCGAGGCGACAGTCAGCGATTGACTTGGGGTTGTTTGGCCGTCAATCTAAGCGTCGTCGTCGTGTGAGCACGTTGCGAAAGGCGATATCGAGTTGAAGACACGCTTGGGCCCATTCGAGGTGGGTAAGGAATCGACGTCGATGTGGATGGTGGGGCAGAGCCAGTGACGTCCAGCGCTGTCAGCTCAGGTGTCCCACTTGTAGTCCTCCACACAGATTGCGTGCAGTGGTACTCGAGACTACTTCTGGGTTTGGAGTGCCCTCAAGGCTGCCGGTCTTCTTTACTTTATTTTTATTTTATTTTTCCAAATGTGGTTTTTTCCCCCTTAACAGCGCTTGTCGTATGAACCACTCCCGACAGCGATATTAGTCTTGGTCAGATTTGCAGAGTTCAAGGTCACACAACCTTGCCATTTCTGATCCGTGTATCTATCTATGATGCCCCGGGTTTATGCGGCTTTGATTGAGGGCTTCATTCATCATCAATCTGTAGATTATTGCTCTTACCCCGCGGTTGCATCGCAATGCAGAGCTCCTCGCCTAAAACCTGTGCTATTATAGATACTCATATCTGGCCTTCCTGTCCGCCTATATCGGCGTCGTGATTTGCGTATATCGTTATTTTCGTGAATCATATCCCATCCAATTACTCCCCGTTATAGCTGTTTGGGTTGGATTTCGTGGTCCTTCATCATATGTTCCTGCGCGTTGTTCAGACTGCTTTCTGTGGCTCTGTGGCTCCCAGTATCCATAGGCAGAGTAAACGCCCTTATCAAGATGTGAGTTCATCGTCACCCGAAAAGTCCCCACAGCCTCTTGCGTTTGACCTCCGGTTGATGGTAAGGTCTCAACGGGTATGTTGGCGCCACGCTGAACTGATCTGTCGATGCCGGCTTTTCCGATAGCCTTCGTCGCAACCTGTTGGGGGCAATTTCGCCAAGCTTGGTGCTGCCTGATGACATCGTTGCCATGGACATACGTTTCTCGGCTTTGAGGTGCTGTGCATAGCTAGGTTCTCCAGGTTTGGTCTCTGTTCCGTTCGCCTCCGCCGCAGACTTGAGAAGGTTGCGCTCGGGGGCTTCCCTGTCCTTCAACTTGGACTTGCTGTCTGCCGCAAGCATCCTCTTCGAATGCTTGTGCTTCTTACTTGACCCGGATGAGCTAGACTTCAAGGACGGAGTGCTAAGTCTCCGTGACAGGTCATTGATCGCTTTGACAGCGTCGACACGCGATGAGTTGGACAGAGTCTTGAGTGACTGGTAGTCAATGACGGGGTTCTGGCCTCTGGTCATGAGATGAAGCAAGTTGGTCGTGGCCGATGTAAGACGTTTAATCACTCTTCGCACAGAAGATCGAGCCACGGCTGTTGTGATACATTAGTACATGAGCTTAGAAAGCCGCTGCACGCAGAAACACTCACCGTCACCCTTTTCAAGATGAGTCCCAGCCACGGACAGCTTTGAAGAGTATACACTTCGGACCTTGGACCTGTCAGAGCGAATGCTTCTTCGAAGTTGTCGAGGCTGCTTGTTCCCACGAGCTTCCTTTAGGCCCTTCAGGAGACACAGACACTTGGAATATGTCTCCAGAAGTGAGTCGATGGTGTCGCCAAAGCCGGCCATTTTGAGCTCGCGATTTTTGACTGAGTCGGTCTCATTCAGTGTTCAATCTGCAGAAGAGGATGAGCGCTGCATTTCGGATGTTTCTACATCCAAATCATCTCCTCAGGCTGTTGATGAGGGGAGTCCAGGCATTTGTGTCAACGAACGAGGCTGGGCTATTGGTGGAGGGCGCGCTGTTAGGAGCCACGGAAATCGAAGCATTTTGGTTGGTCCTGTAACCGCCGTACCAAGCAATCCTAGTACATCATCGGCGGATTGGCCGGTAATACTGAGGAATTGCTTGGAGGAGTACTCACATTCCTTTTCTCAACTCCGATAAAGCGTTGACGGCACGTGGGAGAGAATTCATGTGGTCCCAAGGGTGGAGAGGATGGAAGGAGACCAAAAAATGCCATGGGCTTAGATCCCACCGACATTATCATCACGATATTGCTGACACGCACAAAGTTCCTAGCTGCCTGTAGGCACACACGTGGCTACAATTGGCGGGAACCTATGGTGTGTGAGAGAGAGATATATCGAGAGAGGGAGGGAAAATGCCTCTTTGTCAAAGATCAATACCTACTATGAGGAATAACCCATCGTGGACGGCAATATGCAGCTAGCCCTATCGGTTCCATGGCATAACCTCAGCTCGTAGTTTCGTTAAAAACACAACTATCAAACGGCAACAGGTGCAACGAGCATATCGACTTGTAAAGGGGATGACATCGACCCATTTGAGGTGTGCGTACGATGGAACTCAGCAGCCTGCCGCAGGTCTTGTCGGGGAAGGAGGCATAGCGTTTGCACTTGCACTCGGTCTGCCGCTCTGCTCGAGGCTTCGAGCTACTTGTTATCGTAGAAAGTCAGCTCGTTCGCAAACTGTCAAACGTCTGCTTTGAGTTGGCATATGCCAGATGCATGTGGTTAGAGCTTGCCACGCGTGCCACGCTCGGCATCCTTGCCTCGATGAAATGGGTGATGGGCGGCCTCGCTCAGCGCCGTGGCGGTGAGTTAATCGAGCATATCGGGTTGGCATCCGTTATCCGCCGGTAGAGGCGTTGAAGCGTTGATAAGGCACATGGGGCCAGGGACCAAAGCAGGGCTTTCCAAATCCAGGGTTGCCAGAGCCGACAAGGGTCAGTATTGAAGACAATGTCCATAAGGATAGGTAAGGGAGTTGGCACGTTGGGTTCGAATAAAGGTCGGGATCGGATGGCGTTTCCGCAAGGAAGCCAGTCGCCATGGTAGACGACAGACCAATGGCATGCTCGGAAGGTCTCACCGAGTGTCGCGATTGTGTACAACGTTCGGTGAAATACACTGTACCTCGACGAATAAGGTGAAGTTGGGTTAACATTCATCGTTGTTTGACTTTGTGAAAGCAGCAGGACGTGATGTCGGCAGCTCGAGGCGGTCGGTCTCGTTCATCTGCACGATACTAAGGTAGAGATGCAGATAGCGGCCTACCTCACCGATGCACACATTCATGTTCCGGTCTGCTGTGCACCCTGGGTTATCTGCACAGATGCCGCCAATCGCCTTGCAGTGTATGTACGGAAGTATAAGTGCACAGCACGGATGGCGGGGCGATGCATCGTCGCAATACTGGTGTCTCATTGTCCAATGGCCTAGGTATCCGTAGGTGGGAATGTTGTTAGTGAGCCCAGACGAAGGGAAAGATGTTTTGAAAGCAGCAGAGACATGGGTATCAGCACTCCGTACCCAGGGAAAGAGTCATCTCAATCTGCGCATGTGAGGCTGCGATCCAGGTAATAAGGTATCGTAGGATCTCTATCGGAGTTGGCGGAAACCTGCATAGCCGAAAGTCGGCAGCAGTACCATCTTGACGGGAAGGGAAAAAACGTTACCTGACCTCACGGAGTGCGGGCGCTGGAATCTGGCAGTTGGCAAACGCGACTCACGCGGCTCTTTTCCACCAAAGGTATCTGGTGCGCGGGTTCCTGATCCAACAATTACCTAACAAACCTGATACCCAGCATGCAGCGTCATGAGGTGCGTGATAGCTACCTAGCAGTCAGGACTGAAGACTCAGCAAAGATTCGACTATGTACTGAGCAGTTCTGGACCATCAGGTGTCGAGTGCAAAAATTCCACGTCCGAACCGGCCGACTGCAATCGGACCCCTGCTCAATAGCGCCCGCAGCCGTTCCATCCTCTCACGGGAGGCACTAGGTAGACTTGATTGCACATGTGAATGATTGATACCCACGGATACCGGTACTGTGCTCCGTACCCAACGGCAGCAGCAACTCATAGGCAGAGAATGTGAGGCAAGGTGAGGAGGTACAGACCAGCGAGCAGGCACGCCGCACACATGGAGGATATCTGCGTCTTCCATTGGGTTGGTAAGACTTTGATGGTTGCAGTGCGTCTTATCTGGTTGGTCCCCCACATGGACCACTCAGAGGCTGTCTCTCGAGCATCTGACGGGCGCACATGGGTGGGCGCCGACGGGAGAGCGTGGGAGGGCTCTTGATTTTCCTTGGATGCTTGCCTTTGGTACCTTGACGAAACCAGGAATAACCGTCTTGCACCACATGGCAACCGTCTGGCGCGAGTGAAGATAGATGTCGGCACCATGGCGGCGAATTGCGTGCGGGCTGCGGGCGTCGGGTGAGGTCAAGGCCAACCTCGGTATCTTACTTGCCTTTTGGGTTTTTTTATTCTGTTAGTTTTCCTCCAAACTAGTTACTCCCCTGGACAAGCATGTACGGTATTCCAAGACGTGCGCAACAACTCGCCACCGTGTTGCTGGTGTTGATGGTTTGGCCGTGAGGTGTTTGGGGGTTCCATTTGGTTGAGCTGATTGATAACCTGAACTGTCATGTCGAAAAAAACGGCGCGGCGGGCATGCCACGGCTGGTGTGGGATTCCTGCCTATTATCTGACCTAGCTTCCGTAAGTATCTCTCCTGGTGGGAAATACATGGAGTTTGGAGTGTGTCTCAGCCAAATGATAGGTATCTCTAATTAGCTTTCCAGGGGAACGGCCAGTGCGATTGGAATGAAGGTACCCGTGGACCCAGGTAGGTTAGGTAAGGAAGCCCCCAACCTTCATGTTTCCCCTGCGAATGAAATCATACCCTCGGCCCCTCCCCCTTCCCCCCCCCCGTTCCCCCAGTGGTCCCCCTCACCCCCAATCCCGCGCGAATAATCCACTGTCCCGCCTGCCGCTTCCCGCTTCCCCGTATGATGTAGTAGTGTAGGTAGTGTACCTACTCATCCGCACACCATAGTCTCGTCCTGAGGTAGAAGGTAGATGGATGGGCAGTGACCATCAAAAGAGAATGAGAGGAAGGGACAACAAGAGAGAAACTTGGAAGAAGACGGGAACTACTCTACGAATGTTACCAGTGCCTTGTTAGCTAGCTACCTTCGCAGCAGCCATCCATCTCAGGTACGCCGTACGGGCAGCCGGAACCTAAGGTAGGCAAGGTACCTTAATCAGGCCAGCCTCGCCCTTTCGCACTTTGCGACGAACTCCAATTCCCTCATTCTTCCCGGCCCTGACGAATCCGGCCCTCGAATCATTGACAGATACCTGCCATGGCCCCCGTCTGCACTGCAATGCGCGCCCGGCTGCATCACTCACAGCCCTTTCGATGGAATTAGACCTCACCTCGCCATCCTCACCACGCAAGCAACCCTGATTTTTTCTCTTTTGTCGTCACGTCTTTTGTACTCACTCTCTGCCCAAGCCTCCTCTGCACGTCGGGAAATCCTACACCCCCCGGTCCATAGTGTGTGCTGTGGGAGTGAACGGTTGGACGTTCGAAAAGAATATCCGTAGGTGCTGCAAAACTTGACAAACCGCTCCCCTTCTCGGCTTCTCTCCCTAGACTCCCCCCTGTCACCCTGCGGCCTACCCCCCCCCCCCCCCCTTACCCCTTCCACACGACACGCCTTTTTATCTCCATCCAATGCCACTTCCTTCCCGCTCCGCCCACGTCTGCAACTTTTGCTCGTCCATCTCTCGAGGCCCACTACCTTCACCCTCGCCCTTCCTAGGTATTCTCAACCTGAATCGCCGCATCTCATGTATTACAATCGCCTTGTCCACCTTACGATACCATGACTCTCCCGACCTTATTCTCCCTAATCGCAACCCGTCTCGTTCGCCGCTCAAACTGAGTACCTGACAGAGTACCGAGTACGCAGTACAGTCATTGTCTTCTAGCACCAACAAACAGCCACGTTCACATCCGCGTCTACAACACACGTTGCCCGCACAAGTCCTGCCACCGCTATCCGTGGACCGTATCTTATTCTCACTCCTCCGCCCCGCTGGCCCCATCATCATCCCGTGCTTCTTCTGCTGTACGACGAGATACCCATCTCGTCGCGTATCGCAACTCCCAGCTCGGTTCCTGGTATTCTACTGTACCTTACCCCAGACATCGAACCCCGAATCTAGGCACCTCGCCCAGACCCACGCCTTGATCTTCCCGGTCCCGGTCCACCTCCCGGTTGTTGGCCTGCTATCTAAAGAGCCGTCCCCGCCAACCCTCACAGCATCCGACTTCCCCTTCTGTTTACTCACCCTTTGCTACCTTATCAAGCCCGTGCTTCTTGGTTGGCCTTCTGCATTTCCGACCACCACCGCTGACCTTCAACCGTCAATATTCGCCATCCATTCCATGGCTCAACCATTCATCCTCGCTGCATCTTATTCGGTGTCTACTGCGCGCCCTCTCTGAAGTACTGAAAACCACCCCAACGGTGACTGGCACTCTCGACTGTATCCACACTTTATTCAACAACATCTGCTGTTTTAGCAGCCGCTGGTCTTATCTGAAGAAAGCTCATCACGAAGAACATCAACCCCAACTCACCCTTCATGTCGACGACTTCATCTCCCTCTCCGTTGCAAGGCCCAACGGGCCGTGTCGATGAGAAATCTCTACCCCAGGGTCAGTGCCGCTACATATTGCTCGTACCTGGTATCAAAGGCCAACGATGCGCCTGTGTTCACTTTTCTCTCAACCGATCTACGCCCGGCGCTAGTTGCGACTGTGGGCACATGGCCTGCTATCACGTCAAGACCCCAGAGCCGTCATCGACCAGAGAGGAGGTCGAACTTCTGAAGCAGCGACTTCAAGCCCTCGAAGAACAACTTGACCAGCAGAGACAAGGCGGTCTTGGAACCGTCGTTGCCAGAGTGAGCGAACTGGAGGACCTTGTCGACAAAAGCCGTGAAGAGATAGGCCAGGAGATCAAGGGCTCTTATCGCAACATCAACAGAGTATGGCAGTCTGTAGAGCAGCTTGAGCGTCAAACCTCCCACCTCCGGGAAACCCTACGCTCTCAGTCAGAACACATGGAACGTGTCAACGGGGAGTTGAAGAGCGTCAGCAATCGTCAATTGGAGCTTTTTGACGCCGACGAAAGCATCGAAGAGAGACTGGATCAGCTAGAATCGGACCATGATTCTTTAGCCAGTCGAGGTGGCCAGATCCCGAACATGACAGAGGAAGCAATCTTGTCACGGCCAGACGCTGTGACGGCCTCCAACCTGCAACAGTCGCTGGGAGCCACTCTGTATTCACAGCCCGAGGCCGAGGTCATTCCAGGAGAAACCATCCGTACCTCGCCAGCCCTCAGCGCCGCCGATTCCAACACAAGTTCAAGCAACTGTGGGGCTTGGACAGTTCATATTTCGCTTCTTCCGACAGCCTCTCAGCCTTTCCCATTCGAAAGGGACACCAACGCCTACAAGCGCTGCTTGTCCCGAGGGCTCCACCGGACTGTAGTAGTTGGCGGCCCAGATAGTGACTCTTTTGTTGAGGCTGTCACAAAATCCTTCGGTAGCCTACTCAGAGGAAGATCATGGATGCCTCTACAGGCCAAGCTGTGCGACGCAGAAAAGCTCCAAGGGCTTCCCATGCTCAGGCCACTGGACTCCAGACTTGTTGACAGCGACTATGATCTCAACTTTCTCAAGAGATTCTGCGGCGTCTGCGAGGCCAACGGCAAGATCGATTCTCTGTATATAGCCATGCGCCAGGACAAGTTTTCATGGCACTTTCTACGAAACTCTCCGATATTCATAGAGGGTCTCGAGAATTGCTGGATTTACGATCACTTCTTGGATCCAAACGACCCAGTTGAAGATGACCACATGGAAGAGCATGATCGACCCTCCGCCGGAGACATTGTCCCGAGTCTTCCAAACTTGAAACGAGCAGCATCCGAGATGTCACGAACAGCTGGCTTAACAGCTGCAACGACAGGCAGCGATTCTGACGGCTCTCGAACCAAGACACCCCGGACCTCTTGCCTGCCAAGTCTAGTTGAATCGCGGAGGCGTTTAGAGACTGTGTGAGACACTTGGTCTCTTCCCTTTTTCAACACGTTCCCCCGTCTAGCTTTGGCCTGTGGGATTTGTTTTTACTGCATTTTAGACGCGTGGTTGGCGTCCAGGGCCCGTCTCTTCGAAGCAGCAGTGGCGAATGTTGCGCGCTGCGCGCTGCACTGGCGCCAATGCTTCACGAATGAGGTCTTTCGAGACGATAGAAGGCTGATCCACCTGATAGAGGACATTTATACCCATTTCGTTTATTTACGCCCAAGGGCACAAAGAAGCACTGTCTTGGTCAGTTTCCTATACATGTACAGGGGAATTGGGAGATCCGGAAAGAGACAAAAAGCCTTTGAGAAAGTTTAGTGATAGTCTTAGGTAGGATAAGGTAGTCTTGATCTTTTGAACAAAAAGTCATCTGTCACAATGCTGTGCCTTATTTGAGGTGTAATGAGACTGCAAATTTCGGTGTGGCAGGCTTATTATTGTTTTGCTCAACGTCGATGGCTCCTGCCTGTGAAATCAAGTTGGTATGCCGGTAGAGCCCGAATCGGAGGACCTTCGGACTAGACGGAAGTAAAATTGGCGGGGAGAGCAGGACTCGGAGCCGGTGAGACCTGGCAGGTGCCGGAAAACAGTGCCTCCTACCTGGCACAGGTTCTCCGTGTCCACTAAACCAAAAGTGGAGATGGTGCCGCTGAGCACGGTCAGCCTCATTCTCCACAACGCTAAGCGGCCGAAGGTCTTTCGGCCTGTAAGCTCCGACTAGTAGACGTCGGGTTGATCAACGGCCCTTTTATCACGTAGTTTCTCTTTCTTTCTCTACAACCTTGGCCAATCCTTCCTTCTATAAACCCGCCACCTTTTAAGTTGGGGGAACATCGCCGCAGCTCAGCCTTCCCCTTTGAAGTACTCAACTACGACAAATCAATCAAGCTTGAATTCGCGGGAGCGCGTCAAGCATCTCGCGATCAGCTTCCTCATCCTCACCCCTCCACCATACGAGCGCACGCCGTCGCAGATCAAGTCCAGAACGGAAGCGCTATGGACTACGATATCAACATGGACGATGTCGCCGACGGCTTTGCACCTCCGACAGCGATGATTGGTGACGGCATAGTACGTAGCGCACCTGGTGATGCAACTTCTACTTGCTTGCTTGTTAACCCTTAACGTCAACAGAACATCGCACAACCCGCCACAGCGCCGTCTCCCTCGAACGAACGCGACCTCGAAGATTCTACCATAGTACGTAACAAGGTACACATTCGAGGTCTGGACACATTGACCACGGATGATATCAAAAACTACGTGAAGAGTCATTTTGGTACTCCAGAGAGAGTTGAGTGGATCGATGACGAATCCGCAAACCTGCTTTTTGGGTCGGAAAGTACGGCACAAGAGGCTCTGGCAGCATTGAGCGCCATTGAAATTGCCGACGTAACCCAATTGCCTCCTAAGGAGACGATTCCAGCCAAGGCCGTCGCATCCCACCCAGACGTCAATCTTCAAATTCGATTTGCCGTTGTTTCCGACAAGAAGATACGAGGCGCTGCTGAGCGAAGCCGGTTCTACCTTCTCCACCCCGAATTCGATCCGGAGGAGAGAAGACGACGTGAGGGAAACAGAAACAGATATCGCAATCGGGACGGAGATGATCGTCGCCGCAATGGCCGTGGAAGAAGTCAACGCGACCGAGACTCAAGCCCTGAGGTGTTCCATGCGAGCATGTATGATGACGATGAGGACACACTGGCAGACCGCAGACCAGCACGCCACCCGAGATCTCGCTCAAGAGATTCGACGCCGCGTGGCGAGCGATCTTATGCGTCTCGCAATCAGGAAAAGGAGCTGTTCCCTGGGCGGTCATCACGAGCAGGAAACCGGCAACGAAATCGTTCCGCTTCACCTATGCGGGATCTGGATGGTGACGCAGCAATGGACGTTGAGGTAGCACGCGCGTCGAGGGCCAGCAATCGAAACAATAGGGAAAGGGCATCAGGCATCAGGGATCGTCTAGCTGAAGACAACAAATCCAAGGAACTGTTTCCCATAAAGGGCTCATCGATGGGCAAGACGCATATGGACAGGGTCATGGACGGCGCGGACGAAGCCACGCGAATCATGCAGCAGAAGATGAGCGTGAGCAACGACCGTCATGGCAGGAAGGACCTATTCGATCGGGACAGAGTCGATAATGCAGGTTCCAGTGCTGGATTCTCTATCAAGGGCGCGGCGGGTGCGAACGTCAAGGAGCTGTTCCCGAGCCGCTTTGGAGGTGGTGGCAATACCGGAAAAGAGCTATTCGCTGACAAGTTAGAGGGCCGTGGCCGTCGGCGACAGAAAGCAGAGGACCTGTTTTCGTAGCGCGTCAATACCTGGAGTGCGTATGCAATCATCTTGGTGGTTGGCAAGATGAAGGAGACTATCTTTACGACGAGTTTGGGAACACAGCCGACGGCGCACGCTGTTCATTTAAATACCATAGAAGTCTGAACTTTCGCCATGGGCTAGCGCGATAGAAGGTGAACTTCTTCATAGCAACTGCTGCGTTCAGGCTGGGCATTGTGTGTTGAATCATTGTTCTATAGCCGCGTATATCGTCCTTCGTCACATTCTTCGTAGTTTCCAGAGGGAGTTGAAAGGATTCTGGGATGGCTGTCCAACTAGAATACTCTTACGGCTGAGTAGGGAGGCAAGAGCTGTGTCGGTAAACTTTCAGGCCATTGAGGTCTTGTTGGGCAGCTACTCTTGTGCATTCATCCCGGAGAACAGAATACCGGGGCGGAAGCAGCTCCTGGCCTTGCTCGAAGTTCCCGTATCATGTAGCAACTGAGGAAGGCACGCCTAGTCTGATGTACTCGCAACTTCCAATCGGTCGAACGCGCCTGACTTCGACCCCTCGCCTGCCCTTGCTCGTTCCTTCCTCCCATCCGCGTACATGGCGATATCTCATTCAAACTTCACCTTCATACCTCACCCGCCCTTCACCTCAATCAATCACCCACGGTGATTTTCACACAGAACCCGACCTCTCCCCTACTCTCTCATCTCAATAGGGTCATTCGCCTTCCGAATAAGTCAAATTTGGGCTGTCAATAACAGTCGAGGTACGCGTCAGAAGGCCGTTGAGAAACATTACCTTTTCTACGTCTCTTACGAACGATCTCAAAACTCACCACTGGAGGACTCACCAGGCTTCACCACGTTCGTTGTCTTCACGCCAAAGTACTCGATGCCGGTTTGGTTAACACACTCTTCACTAGCACAATCCAGTTGCCAACGGATACCTGCCATCAGCCAGCCAACATGGCGGACTTCTTATGGACAAAACCGTTGCCTCCCCGACGAAGAAGATCAGAGCTGACGCTGAGCAATCCGCCTCCCGATGAAGAAGAATCTGTTGCGCACCTCGGCGTTCCCTCTATTCGATCGCGCCAGTGGAAGCCCATTCCCCGCATTGCGAGTCTCGATGTTCTAAGTGCTGCTAGATTGGGCACAAGCAACTGCCCAAGCATCAGATCAGACGGCTCGCAGTCATCCTCTCATCGGCTATCGCCATCCCCGGCAGAGCCAACTGAGCCAGCCGATATAGCCTGGTATCAAGAGCGAGACGAGACAGATCGTGCTCTCTCACTGGAGCAGATGATTAATGCGTTACACTACACGATGATGACCAAGAATGTCCTCGACCCGGTTCCAAGAGAGAACAACTCCTACATCTTGCATTTGTTAGAGGGTTACTGGGATCTCCAGGAACGGCTGAAGAAGACAGAGCAGGAGCTCGCAGAGGAGAAGGAGACAAAGTTGAAGAGCCTTGAAGAGTTCACCAAGATGTCTGAGGAATGGGAGTCGAAAGAAGCCGACTTCCGCGCTGAGATCAAACGTATGGAACTAGTTCTTGTCGATGTAGCTCCTGCAGGTGTTGGTGCAGTGGTTCTGGCGAGGTCTTGCAGTCTCGTCGACAGAAGCGCAAAATCCTCGAGACTCTTCAAGGCCAGGGTCGAGAAGGCTAAAGAAAGTCCCCAGAAAGGTATTTATCACTTCAACAGCGGGGAGCACTCCTGTTCCGTTTGCTGACCGGATACGCGCAGGTGATAACAGCACCAGCAAAGTCGACAGCCTAGATAACCCGCGAATCTCTATGGGCTCTGGAAGTCCCCTCCTGAACCATCGAACCTTCTGTAAGCACATGGAAACGCCCACCTTCTCATTTATACCGTGTACATACTAACAGGCCAGTGTCCATGAAACCCAACTTGGATGACAATGCCGATGTTGAACTGAGCAAGGGTCTGAGAAAGGCTGAACGACGACAACAGCGGGCCTCGAGGCGCAGAAAGAAGGAGGCCCCCTTTCCGCCGTTCAACATAGCATGGGATAGCTCATCGGAGGAAGAAGCAAATAAGCCAACATCGACTCAGAAGACAGCCAGGTTAACTGGCTTGGAGTCCGTGAAGCCTCAACCATTACGACGAGCGGCACCATCCGCGCAGATCGCCACCCCAGAATCGTCCGCGGAGGAAACCGCCGTTCCTGAAACCTGCGAGTATGCCGATACACATTACCGGCCTGACGACGCACCCCATACCGGCGTAGAGTCGGCTGAAAACGGATCGGCCGCAACGGGCATGCCGAAGCATGAGCGGCCGACGGGTACCGACCCGGATGTCATGACGGCCACTACTGGCCGAAGAACCTTAGGGACCAGCCGCCATAGGAGAGACTTCTCCTTCGACGCCGGAGAAGATAGCGTTCAGCTGCAGGCCCTGTCTGGAAAAACTGGTATTTCTCACGGAAACGATGTTTCCGTGGGCGGGCCAGCGGTTGCCCCTCTTCAGCGCCCCCTTTCGTCAGATGAAGTAGCTTCGATGGCATCAGTCACTGCAGGGCCTTCCAGCCAGCAGTACCAGATACTTCACAGTCAAACACAGGAGTCGCCGGACAAAGACGAAGGCAATACACTCAAAACATGCCCTGGAGTTGAGCAAATGGGCGCAGAAGGCGGCAGACGGGCCACGAGACCTAGTCTTACGGATAGACGGCGAAGCTCGCGCTTACACAAATCGTCGTGCGAGTCCTTAGGCAACGACCAGAAAGCCTTCAGCGATGAAGCCTGAGGACACGGCATGGCTAGCTTAACGGATGGAAGTACCACACACGCAAACCAAGCACACATGGCAGCAAGGGAGGCCTTGAAGCGGTTGGGCAACGAGGGACAGAACCAAGGCCGGCCCCCAGGTCGGTCCAAAGGCTAGAAGCAGGTATCGCGTGGTTGTGATGGTTGCGGTATTTTGCTCCGAAGGGGCGGGGTTTCAATCGCAATGTACTTGCTCAAGAAGGTACGGTAGATACGCTTGCTGCGGTGTTAGGGTCATGTCAACTATCTCTCTCTCTCCTTTCCTCCCTCCTTGCTTCGCTGGGCCAGAACATCGACACTCTGTGTGTGTCAATCGCGCCGAAAGCCCATCAAATACAGTCCAGATCGAGCCATCGTGTGGACATGACGTGTTCCATCGGATGCTTGGTGAGCTTACGCCCCCCATCATCGAAATCCTCAATCCTTACTCGCGCTTGCATGAAGCCGTTTCTGTCGGGGAGCTGGCGTATGTATGTGCCATGCCAAAATGGGAGACTAAGTTCCGCAAAAGCTCCAAACTTGGCTTGGGAAAAGGGAAAATGGATATGCCACGTGAGCTCCTGGCCCCCCCCGCCGGAGACTACTTTTTTTTCCTTTTCTCCTGTCCTCCGAGAGGCCCATGACCCTGGCCTGAACAACCACCAGGGTTCCGGAGAGAAGCTCGCGAAGCGAACGGGAAGAATTAAACCAACCCCTGGGACAGATCATCAGGCGAGGCCGTGGAAGAAAGAGGATACGACTGCGGGCCGTGTGCAACGGGCCGAACGCGGATGGATGTGTACAAGCTCACGGCTCGAATGGTAGGAGGTATCTTGTGTCATTTCCTATACATCATATATTCACAACATCTTCCGCCATGAACACACTTAGTCGGATATTATATGTGACCAGAATGATGACTCACAGCCTGGTAGTCACATGACACAATACTTGGAGTCTTCTGATCGATAGTGTCGATTTCAAATACACCAGAATTTGAAGTGATAAAAACACTGGGTAGATGGGTAGGCATCAAGACAAACTCCTCGCCAACCCCAGATCAGTAGCAATATCCGGCACGGCCAGTGACACAGAATTGGGCATGGGAAGAAAAACCACTACCAAGCAACAGACTAGTGAAAGGCGTCAGAACCCAACGAAGCCATAAACAGTCGGGAGAGCGGGGGCCTCTCACGCCCCCCTCGGCGGACGGAGAAAAGCCAGCGGAACGCTACTACCAAAAAAGCTCCCGCTAGTGCCCAGGCTTTGCCAGGTCAGGCTCAACATTATGTATAAAAAACCCCCAAAGAGTCTAGACTTCTAGACTTTGGAGGGGGGGAACCGGCGTCTAGGCCCCGTTTGTTGGGGGCCGGACGGAGGAGGAATGCGATTCTATTAGCGGAAGACCGAGTGGCAGAGAGAGAAAGAGCGAGGGAGATGCTGCAAACAAACTTGCACCGATGCGGTCACTTGCTCCGGAGGCCCGCCTTTCCAAGCTGAAGCCATTATGCGCGCACCACGGAGATGGTTGGACACGGACACGGCTGGACGCGGGAAGGGGACTTGGAAGGGGAAGAAAGAGGGTGTGTGACGGATGAAGGCGAGAAGGGAAAACGAAAACGGTCTTGTAACCTTGAACGCCGGCGGTTGATTAGCGAAGGCGTTTCGTTACCAGATTCCTGGGTCATTCTGTTGGGTTTCCCTAGTCTAATCCTAGGCCATCCAGAGCCCCCCCCCTCCCACGAATCTGACTTTGAACCATGACTATCTGGAAATACGGGTAGGACTATGAAAGCAATGGTGTTGTGTTATTCGATGACTCGACCGTTGCGGTTCCAAGCCTGCGGCGTCTGCATCCTTCTAGGTGCATATTGTATTGCGCGGCGGCTTGATGGGCCCGGGGATGACCGCGGCCAGGGGTTGTGAACCGCCATTTTATTCGCTCAACGAGACTCTCGAACACATCGCCAGAGTAGCCTCGAATAGCGTCTGGCTGAGGCGTCACTGTGAGGGTCTCCTTCGCCATAGTCATGTGCGGAAAGCTTCTGACATCTGGGTAGAAGGATATCGGATGAACAACTAGGAGAGAGGGAGAAAAGCTTCCACTCCTTCCACCGCCTCGACTTGACTGTTGAAGTGACTTCACAGAGCTATCATCCTTGATGACTGAATGGGGTCTTGGGAAATGATACTTATTCATAGCGACAGCTGATGTCAACCACGGATTGCAACTACATCCCGAGATCATTATCGTCATCAGCCTCAGCATCCATCACTTAATGAGAACCAAGGAAGAAGAGAGTAGAGACAGCACGACGCGAACCAGGATGGCATGGTCGCCATGGGGAAGCGTTCTCTCTCCAACCCAGAAGTCTGAAGCAGGGAGTCATAACTGTCGTAGACTTCAAGCCATTCTTCTTTGCCTCCCGCGCATTGGCTGCCATACAGCCGCCGTGTATGACCCGATCAGGGGGACACTGTTTGCGTCCGTTGAATATGCGAGCGGGCTAAGCGAAGACAAGAATCTCGCGCGACGGGTAAAGTATAACATTCTCCCGCGGCACCGTGGCACCTCAGGGTCCGACACAAAAGGGATATCTTCCAGCAGGAAAGATTTCAGAAGCGTTGTGACGGACGCGTGGAACGTCTTGATAGTCTGCGGCTAGAGAACCCTGTGGACTGATGGGTGCTAATAGAGGCGTCAAGGGTGGCCGTGAACATGGACTGATTTGCTACACAAGGTAGTTAGTTAGCTGGTTCCAGTTGCCAAGCCGCGAGGCACCGCACCGAGAACAATGGCATTGTTTACCAAGTTTGGCAGGCGTAACCTCGACGTCTATTGCGTGTTGCCGCGTATGGCATCGGATCTGTGTTAACCATTTTGTGAGTTCAAGATCCCTCTTCCGAAGGAGGTCATCCTCGTCCTCATCGTCCTCACATTCGATGTCGTCTGTTTTTTAGTCTGTGCCATCGGAACCCGGGGCGTACAAAACCAGAATGTCAATGCAGTTGAAGTCCGTGTGACAAGGCAAGACACGCGTCTGTTGGACAGCTCGAGCCTCAAGGGTTCTTTGGACCTGTAAACCATAAAAAGAAACTCTTCGCCTCCCGACGTTGGAAAGTTAGGAAAGAAAAAATAAAGATGACAAATGTTAGAAAATCTGATAAACATACAAAAGTCAAACAAATGCTGTCATGTATTGTGCGGCTGACCGAGCGCCACTGTTGTGAATCGGACCAAATGGTGGCTTGAACCGGCTCCCTGATAATGTGCCCTGTTCCCTTCAGACGCATAGTTCAGTTTACTTCAATTCTGTCCTGTCGCATAACAAGGAGACGTGACTGGGGATTCGTACTGCAACGTTGAGAGGGGTGAGGCACCGGTGGTATTTTGTTATATCTGTGCACACGGCATGAAGTCATGCTAAAAGTCCTCTAGCGTCTTTGGCGACGAACGATACCGCGAAGTAAAGAGTGAGACGCTTGGGAGGTGTTGGCGCCCTAATGGCCTAGACACGAGCCGCGGGCGACGCGTACCATCGTCTGGTGGCATCGTGTAGTTTCACTGTGATTGCGTCGTTATGCAGCCACTTTTCTCCTTTCTTCACTCCCTACCTACCTCTGTCTCTCTATCTCATCGTCAGCTCAGGGTGATAATTTACTATGCTTTTCGATAGTAAGAGGTTCAGCTTTAATGCAAGTAGGTAGGCGGCGGCAGGAGAGTGGATTGATGGTGGTCTTCGCAGTATGGGCCTGCATTGACGATGTGGCTGGCTGTGTACGTGTGAGAGCGTGTTGCGTCGATGGCAGCGTCAAAATGAGATGTGATGCTGTCGTCGTTTGTTGGGCACCGACTAAGTAAGGTACCTAGGTATCGACTTTCTGTCATTTTGCCTTACAGAAAAGGTACGTACTTCGGATGTGCAGGCGGCAGTAGGTGATTTTAGCTCACCCGGAAGAGGCACTCTTGGCACTGACTGTTTGACTCGAGAGTCACCACACAGGCACGCGGCGCGACAGGTCTAAAGATTAAAGACTGGAGGGATCAGGGTGGGGCGATATTTGTCATGATGGAAATTTGTGCCCAAGATAGGTTCACCACCAAGCATGTCTCGCTCTGTTCGCTCTACCGGCTTTTCTACCCGCAATAACTACACAGTATTTGCACGTCGATTCAGGACTAGTGGCTAGGGTCTCTTTTCAATCCTGTACCGGAGCCAAGCTCCGTGAAATGTGGCGTTACTAGAGGCGTGTGGCTTCAACCAGCTGGAGTAAAACAGGGACAAACTACGTCCTGACGCCGTTCTATCTAGCTGGCAAGGGTCTCGGGAGATTGTGTTCGTGAGGAAATCTGGCGGCACCCAATTATCGAGATGCATTATTTGGATGCTACGTCCGGCGATGATCAGGGGCCATTCTAACTGAGATTTCTGTTCTCGTATACGGGTTTGGGCAAGACGTCACATCACGGATGCGCTATCAGGCAAAGGACAAGCATACGTCCAGGTACTTGGTAGGGAAGAGAGAGAACCAGGGAAGAAGCTGGGAAGTGAGGCTGAGGCTGTGAGGCGTCTTCGAAACATGGGTATCCGTACGGAGTATACCGTATGCACAGAACAGAGAACCAGAAGCAAGTGCCAGGCCATGGCAAGGTGCCTCATCCGCCGATAAAGTGTTCGTAAACGTCGTGCGGCAGGAGGGGAGGGCGGCGAGTACTCCGTAGAGCGAGCGAGCGGGGGGAGGGTAGGAGAGTGGGAGGTGGATCGTGGATGGATCTCCATCATGTCTGGGCTGTGTGGCTCCTCGTCCTGAATGAGGAAGGATTTGGCTCAGATTATTTGGCTGTGACGGTTGTTGTTCCTTTTTCCTGTTGTCTGTTGCACGCCGGGATCGAATCGGGGTGAACCACAGCCGCGGATATGAGTAGTGATATCCGTTCTGCAGGTCTGAGAACCGGTGAGGGACCAAATTTTGGAGAGACTGTTTTTGTCATCCCTGTCG